AAATCCTAATGCGTTTGCTTGAATCTGTCTAATGTTTTACTCTAATTATTTACCTTCATATGTGTATGTTGATATGTGAGTATCAGTGTAAATGGTTGTCTGCGATATTGCATGTCAGTTGAACGATAAATTTAATTTATATAAACAAATTTAAATTAGTTGTTATCATTTGTTTTTGCAAAATTATGTACTTGTTTTATAACATGTATATAAATTACTTAATTAATGTTTTACAAACCACACAAATTAAACACTAATAGTTTTATTAAGTAAACAATTTGATGAAATACATAAATATATTGCAAAAGTATTGTTTTAAATCTGTAAGAATTAAACAAATAAGCATTTTATTCGGCTTCTCACATAAACGGATATAACTGATACCATTATATTCTACACCGTAGGGTGTTAGGTCCTGTTAGATGCTAATTGGACCTAAGAAATTATTTAATATTTTATTTTTTTCATACAGGTTGTTGGAAATATTTAAATTATTTTTTAACTACCAATCAAACAAATCAAATAAATCAAAGAGAGTTCAATCCTCATAAAATTCGGCATATATATAGATTTAATGCTGATGATGATTGTCATTATTATTTCATGTTTCAAAATATACATATGGAGATTTCATGTTAAGTGACTCAACATTTGAAATCGATGTCTTCCGATCGGTTAATAAGTTACATACATATGGGGAATTTCGTGTCTTTAAAAACTTTAAAAACCGATGTCTTCCGATTTGGATAAAAATGTCGATGTCTTCCGATTTGAATTAAATTTGCACTATTAGATAGTAGGTCAGACACAAATTTTCAGCTCTATCGGTCAAAAACTGCCGGAGTCAGAGCGGTTCAAAGTTGGACATTTTGGTCATACAGGGTTTTATTAAAATGAGTGTAACTTTTTACCTATTGGTCCTATCAAAAATTGTCCAAAGGAGTTCAGATAGCTATTTCTTCATTCTTTGCATATTTTTATGTTCGGCAAAAAAGTTAAACTTTGATCCACTGTAACTTATACAATATTTGACCGATCCTGTTGTGTTTAAATTATTATCTAATAGAACTAACATTGGTGCAAATTTCATTCCGATCGGTTTCAAAAGTTAAGCTCACTTGACGTGAAATCCCCCATATGACAGTTTATCATCCTTAAAAAAAATTTATTTCTATAAACGTTTACACAAAAATAAACGTTATCGATTTGTCCTTAATCTTAAAAGCATTACTTTCTTGAACATTTTTCGTTATCAATGCAATGATATCATTTTTCTACTAAGCGGTGCAGTTATTGCAAAAAGTTTTAAACTTAAACATGTCTTAACATGTCATTACTTGTCTTCATAAAACAGACAGTTTAAGAAAGATTTTCGTTGCATAAAAGATAGAATACATGATAAGTATTGAATTCTCAGGAAATATTAGACTGTTCATAGAAATGTTCTTTATATTTCCTAGAAAATAAAATGTTATAATTACATTAACTGCAATAAATTTTTACACAACAACTTTAAATCAGGATGAATAACAGGTTAACATTATTCCATTTTAACATCTAAAATTCACACGAATTCGATCCACCCTAATAAAGCATTTTATAACATAGTTTATACATATTTATGTCTGTATTAAAGTATTATTTGTTTTTTTTTTTCAAATTGTTTACTTTCATCTTATGAGTGGCATTCAATTATATTTTAATTTTATTTTATAAAGTATAGAGTTTTATGTTGTTTACCTAAGTTCTTTTGGTTTTTATGTCCAATTTTTCTCAAATTTCTTTCTTTCGTTTTATTTTTCGATTCTATTTCATTTAATTTTATTTCCGGTAAGTTTTTAGTTTCCGTATTTGTTGTTAAGTTGTTTTAGAGAAGTTTCAGTTAACCAACTTTGTTTCTTTTTCTTGTGTTACTGCATATTCCTGTTTTTCTTCTTCCTTAACTAACTTTATTCCATAGGAAATTGAAAATCTGTAGTTTTATATGCTTGGTGAGTATGTGGGAATGTTATTGCTGTTTTGCTATACGACAAATGGGCAACTTTGCCCAAATAAAATTTTGTGGTAATTTAAACAAAAATAAAAGAAAATTATTTGTTAAGGAAATTTCAAGTTGTTGGAGAGGAATAAAAACTGTTATGTATTTTATTTTTTTTATTAAATAATATTTGATATTAGGTATATATTTAATTGGTTATTTAGTTTGTACTTGGAAGTTTAAATGATTTTTTTTTATATCGAGTATTCGAAAAAATTTAAAATTTCAATTATTTTATTATTTTCTTATGCAGTTTTGGTTTTAATTAAATATAGTACACAGAAAAAATTGTTTTCTTTTCAATTAAATTATTTTTTTCTTTTAATCAATGCTTTGATTGTTTCAATCATCGACTTAATTGATTTTTAATAAATTTTTAACCAAACTGTTTAATTCAGTTAAAATTTAAGTTTTATTTTATTAAATATTTAATTTATTCAATTAATGAATAAATTAATTTTAAACTTTAGTTTAATTATTGATGTTAATTTTTTTCTTTATTTCTTTAATTGGAGAAAAAGTATTTTTTAAAAATTTTGTAGGAAATAAAGGAGATTTCAGATTTTAATATTTTTGAACTAAAGGTTTGCACAAGACATTGTATTTTCGTCTAAAAATGCACTTGTATATAAAGGAAATAAAACTGATTGCGGCCTACTGGTAAATCTCCTTTCAATAATTAGAAATAACATAAAAGTTAGCATGGACATTTTCTTTAAATCCTAAGAAAATGAACAGAAAAACTTGTCTTTTTTCACATTGTGCAAATATACCAATATCTAGATGAAATGTTTGTATATCTTTAAATCTGCACATACTCAATTAAATTCTATTTACCAAGTTGCAGATGTAGAAAAAATGTAATCGAATACAGACAGATAGCAAAATATAACAAAGAATTTTAGAAAAATGAACAGAAAATGGAAATGAAAAATTTAAACTTGAACAAAAGAAAAGAAATGTTTGTACAATGGACTGTATTTTATATATATAAACGATATATACGAGGGTTGCTTAAGGCAGATAAAATTTTATGATTCGTTGTCAAATTATATGTTCTATGAATTTAAACATATTAATTTAAATATTAAATTTTCTTTAATTTATAAAACTATCCTCGTACATCTATATTAACGAATGCAAAACAGTATTTATGTAGATGTTGTTGTTGTTGTTTAGGTCAAGCAACAGATAGACCAACAACAAAAAAGGAATAGCAAACAGAATAAATACAAACAAATATTTTTTCTTCTGCATACAGAAACTCTGAACGGCCCCCTAAAATGACTTGGTTGCCATATATACACCCGATTTTCACACGTATATATACATCATACATCTGTATTGTGTGAAAATAATTGTAGAAAAGTTTTTGTTATTGTATGCGTGTCTATATCTATGTGCATGTGTCCCACAATTACATTTGAAATAGAGATAAAATAAGGACATGAATACAAAACAATGACAAAAAAAGTTCTAAAGTCAAAGTAGTTAAACACCAATTGTAACACAATTCAATTGGCCAAGTACCAGTAACAATAACAACAAAGACAATATTTTCAACTGGGCGCAAAAAATTGTGTTGAAAAAACTCTAGAAAAATAATCAGAATCATTATATAAACACCTTGTACAGGGTGGTCCATTAGCAAGTATCTTTTTAAAAATTAAATAAGATATATTAAGACCTTTTTTTGAAAGGAACACATATATATTTCTATTATTTATGCAATACAATTTCATTTATATGACTCAACAATTTTAGCATTTTGTTGGAATGGGACACTTTATTTGATATTAAGTTTTTTTGGTAGTTACGCTCTTTTGCATTTCAGGTAACGATATGTATGTAGTATATGGGGATATCAATAATAAAAAAATAGTAAAACCAATTCAAATGGTGTGTTTACTTGACAACAATCAATATGGTTCTCATTTCTATATATACATACAAATGACTCTGGACTTTATATTGTCTACACCTAATGTCCCTTCAAATGATTGAAAAAAATCATAGAATAAAACAATTATATGAAATGGATTCGTTATGGAGTGTGTTACACGTTTTTCTTCCAAAATGTTTTTGTCGTCACTCGAATGTTTAAATTGGCACAAGTTAAAATTGAAACATAAACGATTAAATGATTTTGTACTTTTAATGTAGTTGTTGGCATATTTGTGTAGAATTACACTGAGTGGAAATCATATTGAAAAACACTATTTAACCATTATACGTATATAAGTGGAAGAAAATAATACTTTACACAGAATAAATATATTTGTATCTATATTTGATTAACAATATAAGATCCAAAAGTTGTAATTTGCCAAGTACAGGTTGTTCAGTGTTTGTCAACACCGTAACAACCATAACCTACAAATACCATTATTTTTAGGCTGGCAAACATATTTAGACATTGGCAGGAAAGTTATTAAAAAAAATGTTTTTTTTTCCATACGCATATTGCATTTCCGTTGTAATTTACTCGTCATAACAAGTACAATAAAAGTAACTAGAACAATGTTAATGATAGATTAATTTTTATTACACTATTAATTTTATGAACAGAGAAATTTTCATGTGAATTAAAACAAAAAATTTTTATGCAACATAAAGTTTAATTTGCATTAATAAAAAATATAACTGCAGAATTTGCGAGAAATGTAGAAAAATTCTACATTTATGAATTACTAAGGTTAAATATTTTTTTTTATTATTCATGTATATACATATTTATTTTCACAAACTGTTAAACATACACAAAGTATCACAATGTACGTATGAGCAATATCAATTAACATATTAAATATCAACTATACACAGGAGATATGTTAAATGAAACATAGGAAATATACATAAATAACAGCAATAAAGAGTTTTGAATAAATATAAGAGTATGGTGAAAGGTTGACATCATATATGTATATAATTATTTCCATATAAATAATATGTGTGTTAATAATTATCTATATTTAATAAAATAACGACCTCCTGCCAAAAATTTCATCTTTAAACGATGTCCGAATAACTCTACCATTAAAACAATAAATGCCAGTAGGTAACCAAATAGCAAGATGAACAGGGGACCGGATATGTGCTCAATTGATAGCATTTGAGGTGGTGACTTGGGCTTAGAACCCGAAGCAAGCTTTTTTAAAATGTCCTGCACTTGATGATCCAAAAACTTGTAGCTAAACTATTAATGTTACAAAATTATAAATAGCAATTTTTCTAATTAAACTAGAACTGAACTAGAACTGTACTAGAACTGAACTAGAACTGAACTAGAAGTGAACTAGAACTGAACTAGAACTGAACTAGAACTGGACTAGAACTGAACTAGAACTGAACTAAAATTGAACTAGAACTGAACTAGAACTGAACTAGAACTGAACTAGAACTGAACTAGAACTGAACTAGAACTGAACTAGAACTGAACTAGAACTGAACTAGAACTGAACTAGAACTGAACTAGAACTGAACTAGAACTGAACTAGAACTGAACTAGAACTGAACTAGAACTGAACTAGAACTGAACTAGAACTGAACTAGAACTGAACTAGAACTGAACTAGAACTGAACTAGAACTGAACTAGAACTGAACTAGAACTGAACTAGAACTGAACTAAAAATTACAAAACTAGCAGCAAAATTAAAAAAAATTTACATGTCTTTCCCAATGTATGTAGATGCCGGTCTCCAAACAGAAAGATATATGACGATCAAGTAAAGGCATCAACGGCCAACCTCTAATAGAAACAGCACGAGTCCAATCGAAATACAAATCGTCTTTTGGTACCTTCAATAAAAAAAAATTAAATACTTATTATTTTTAAAGTCATATCAATTTTCTAACAATTTTATTTTCTAAAGCTGCTCCTGTTATGTAGTCCCCAAAAGAAAATGAACCACTATAAATTCTCTCAACACCAAAGCCATAGTTGTCCCAAAATGTGGCATTATATAGAAATTCATAATCTTTAACCTCGAATTGTTTAGCCAATCGCTGTTCCATGGCTAAATCTGAATTCTCCACCGTATGTACCCATATTATAGAAGGAGCAGCCCATTTCCAGCCAGTTAATGACCATTTGTGCATGGTATCCACAGGCTCATTAAACAAAGGCATTGTCAATATAGACTTTAATTGGCCACTATAGGTATTTTCCAATGTTATAGTAGCACACAAAAGAAATGCCAAAAATATGCGTGAAGCCACACGATGCAAACTGGAAAATAAAAGAATAGCAATTATATTCAATTGCTATAAACACTACAAAGCGTACACCGTATCTGCTGAGGGTTGTTGTATAAATACAGCAAATATATCCAATAAAGTTTTTTCATAGTTCTTAACACTGCGGTATTTATTTTTCCTTGCAGAATAAATATGCTTAAAGCGATATGAAGTGTATTTGATGAAATGAAACATTATAGAGCACATAACCATTGTGAAGACCAGAAATATCCATAGACCATAAGAAAATGGCATGATATTGGTGCGCCATCGTGGAAATTGTCTAAAAAATACACGTTAAAGTTGATAGCACACATAATAATAATGTCTTTAGCTTACGCAGGCCCGGGTCCCAAAATGGTTACCGCAGATCTTGCTATAAATCTTGAAGTTTCCGTTATATCGTTATACCAATTGTAAATACAACCTATAGCCATTTCGGTGTTTTGTTTATAAAGATCACCTAGCATTCCCTCGGTAGAACCATTATCATAGATAATGCCCCAGTTGTCAGCAGTATCTGAAATTTCTTGAATTAACTTATTTATAAACAAGATTATATTTTATAAAAGGTTTATAAAATAAAATTTACATACTAATTTTGATTTATAAGCCGTTAATAAAATACAAATTTGTTTATGAATAAGGCTTAATTTGTTTTATAAATCTTTGATAAATTGTTATGAAGGCCCTATGACTACAAAGTATAAAACTATTTGAAATCAAATTTATAAAGAATTTTGTATTAAGTAGTTTTAATATTTATAATGATTTTACTTACAAGGTTCCACTCTTAAATGACAGTTACGTATGTCGCAAAAAGATTTCATCAGTTCAGCTTCAACGCCAATAAATTGCACAGTTTTTTGAGGACCTTTAGATTTGATAGAATCCACATCTCCTTGGCCGGAAGGCTAATAAAATATTAAAAAATAGAAAACCACACAGAAAAAATTATCAGTAGTTTATTTTCAATTAACATGTTTTTCTCTTTCTTTAGTTTTAATTTAAGCAATTTTTTATTTGTCTTAATTATCTCATTGTTTAAAACCTAAGTTTACAAATTTGATTAAATTTTTAATTGATTCAATTAGTTTTTTAATTGATTGAAAAAAATTTTCTAGCCAACTTTTCCATTTTAGTTTTTTTTAAATATTTAATTTTGATTTCTTATGCTAACAATGTTTATAATTCTTAAATAGTCAATACGATTTTAGGTATATAATATTCAAGTTTCCTGACAATTTATAAAACACTTTATATGTTCAAATTTGATAATAAAGTGATATTTTTTGTAAATGCTCAACGTATTGTTAAAGATCAAGCATTCCTTTAACATTGTGAGTAATCAGTTAATAATTTGATTGTTTTAATCATCAACTTAATTGGTTTTTAATACATTTTCCACCAAACAAACTAATTCATTTGATTAAAAAAATAATAAAAATTAGATTTTATTTTTATTAAATATTTAATTTATACAATTAATTAATTAATCGATTTTAAATTTTGTCTCAATTATTGATATTAATTGTTCTGATTAATTCGTTATTTGGAAAAAAAGTATTTTTTTTACAAATTTGATAATTGATATCATCATTTTGGTGATAGGTGCAAAACTGCTTGATACAATTATTTTGATAATTGAAACATATTTTTAGTTTTTCTGTGCATCGAAAAGTAAACACCGTATAACTGAATTGGAACTAGTCTTGAAGAAACTGAACTAGAACTGAACTAGAACTGAACTAGGAACTGAACTAGAACTGAGCTAGAACTGAAACTAGAATGAACTAGAACTGAACTAGGACATTTGAACTAGGAACTGAACTAGAACTGAACTAGAATGAACTAGAAAGTGAAACTAGAAACTGAACTAGAACTTGAATAGACAATGACAGAACTGAACTAGAACTGAACTAGAACTGAAAACTAGAACTGAACTAGAACTGAACTAGAACTGAACTAGAAACGAACTAGAACTGAACTAGAAATGAACTAGAACTGAACTAGAAACTGAACTAGACTGACTAGAACTGAACTAGAACGAAATCGAACTGAACTAGAAACTGAACTAGACTGAAACTAGAAATGAACTAGAAACGAACTAGACTGAACTAGAACTGAACTAGAACTGAACTAGAACTGAACTAGAACTGAACTAGAACTGAACTAGAACTGAACTAGAACTGAACTAGAACTGAACTAGAACTGAACTAGAACTGAACTAGAACTGAACTAGAACTGAACTAGAACTGAACTAGAACTGAACTAGAACTGAACTAGAACTGAACTAGAACTGAACTAGAACTGAACTAGAACTGAACTAGAACTGAACTAGAACTGAACTAGAACTGAACTAGAACTGAACTAGAACTGAACTAGAACTGAACTAGAACTGAACTAGAACTGAACTAGAACTGAACTAGAACTGAACTAGAACTGAACTAGAACTGAACTAGAACTGAACTAGAACTGACTAGAACTGAACTAGAACTGAACTAGAACTGAACTAGAACTGAACTAGAACTGAACTAGAACTGAACTAGAACTGAACTAGAACTGAACTAGAACTGAACTAGAACTGAACTAGAACTGAACTAGAACTGAACTAGAACTGAACTAGAACTGAACTAGAACTGAACTAGAACTGAACTAGAACTGAACTAGAACTGAACTAGAACTGAACTAGAACTGAACTAGAACTGAACTAGAACTGAACTAGAACTGAAGAACTGAACTAGAACTGAACTAGAACTGAACTAGAACTGAACTAGAACTGAACTAGAACTGAACTAGAACTGAACTAGAACTGAACTAGAACTGAACTAGAACTGAACTAGAACTGAACTAGAACTGAACTAGAACTGAACTAGAACTGAACTAGAACTGAACTAGAACTGAACTAGAACTGAACTAGAACTGAACTAGAACTGAACTAGAACTGAACTAGAACTGAACTAGAACTGTACTAGAACTGAACTAGAACTGAACTGGAACTGAACTAGAACTGAACTAGAACTGAACTAGAACTGAACTAGAACTGAACTAGAACTGAACTAGAACTGAACTAGAACTGAACTAGAACTGAACTAGAACTGAACTAGAACTGAACTAGAACTGAACTAGAGAACTGAACTAGAACTGAACTAGAACTGAACTAGAACTGAACTACTAAACTGAACTAGAACTGAACTAGAACTGAATTAGAACTGAACTAGAACTGAACTAGAACTGAACTAGAACTGAACTAGAACTGAACTAGAACTGAACTAGAAACTGAACTAGAACTGAACAGAACTGAACTAGAACTGAACTAGAACTGAACTAGAACTGAACTCGACGAACTAACTGAACTACTGAATTTAATCTGATATTACTATGTTACATTTTTTTTCGAATTTTGAGCTGATTATGGAAAAAATCATTTTTAAATTTTATTGGAGTATTTTGGTCTATAAATTAATTTTGGTTGATTTGAGAGGCATATCATTTTTGCATTTTATTGAAATAGGTGTAAAAATTGTCGTCATTTATAGCTTATTCATAAAAATATTTCAAAAATTCTTTGGCATTTGGTTTGGTCCATTTCAGATTATTTTCGGATTTATATGCCCCTTACAATAAATGTCGTTTTGCGGACCAGGAATAGTGTAAAAAATTTTTAATTATTTTTCTAGCAATAAGCTCAAAATTACGGAATTTTTTATACCCATTTCGAAAAATTGCAGAATTTCTTTTGAACATATTGTACTAAGATGAAAATTTTCAACCGCTGGTAGGGAACTGATTCCACTTTCAAAAAAAATATTGTTAATTTTTCTTTTGTTCAGTACATGAATACATTTAGAAAAAATTGGTGTACGGGACACCCTGAACTATGAATATTCTGCTTGAAAATTCATTCTTTACATGAATGAGAAAAATTAGTTATTTGTTGCTATTAAATATTGTAACATACATATGTATATGTATGTGTGTATATATACTTATATATATTTTTACTTTAATAAAACGAAAGTGTTTAACATTGTATTTTAATTATTTTTAATTACAGTATCTACCAACCGCCTACTGCATCAGTTTGAAATGTAAGTAAATAATTTTGTCTTTCAATAACCATAATACAAACATATATATTTTATTTACCAACTTTATCTTCATTATCTGGCTATTTTGTTTCATAAGTAAGTAAATGAGAGTTGTACAATTAAATACGCCTAGTAAAAGGCTATTTAAATCAATGTTTATGTTGTGCTCGTCTGTCTAACTATCTGTCTGTCTGTGTGTATGTCTTTCTACTTACAACTGTTTACGATAAATGCCATTAGGCAGCTTAAATTGTTTCTTGTATCTTCAACTGTTTACTCTTCACAGTGGTGTTGGAGTTTATTGACAAGATTGACAATTGAGTGTGAATAAAAGTTTTCTTGTTGTCCTCCGCCACACCAATGAATTGACTTTGCTGTTGGCAAAAACCCAACGTAACTATACTGAACATTAGATAAACATGTGCCACAACATATGTTTACAATTAAGTGACACCATTACCAAAATAGAAATGAAAACACGATGAAAACAAAAAAAAAAAAAAAACATGTAAACAGAAAACAAATAACTACTTTTGTACATAAAGTTGAACCTAAAACTTATGCTAAAAACTTAACCGGCAATATACAACAGCCACTGCTACACTAAAATAAACTTTGGTTTTAATATACCCTACACAACTGTAGTGCTGAGGTATTAGGCCTTTGTGCTGATGTTTGTAACACCTGCAGATGCATGTGATATTTTTTAAAGCCAACTAATCGTCTTACCCCCATTTTTTCAATGTCTGATTAATTTTTATCCTAACGACAAATTGACAGTTTTCATACAAAAATTATTTTAACCGGCAGCATATGTACCGGTTAAACAATAATCGTAGGTTAAGGTATTGGCCGTAAGAAAAATTGTATGTGCCGATAAAGCCAGGTTTAATTTATTAGTTTTTCTAGAGTTAATTTTAAACTGGAAATCACTTTTAATGTATTAATAAGCTGGTTTAGGGTATTATACTATCGAATATACCCAATATTTTGTGGACTTTCCTAGAAGTTAATTCCCCCTACTTTCTAAAACTTTTGTTTATATGAATGTGTAGTTAGAAATCTGTGTATATATGGTAAAGAGTATGTTTTCTGGTTTCTGTTTTCCTAAAAAAAAACTTACCACATAATAAGTTTTTACGTATGGCACATAAGTTAAAGAACCAATCCTCAATGTACGTTGTTGTAGATTCCAAAGTTTATTCGGATAAAGTTGAATATTTTTGGCAAATGTTCCATTACCACTAATGTACGTATCTAGGTGTATGGCTTTTAAATTGCCTTCAGCACCACCGTACTGTTGTGTCCACAATTCAAAATTGATGCCGCGGTATTTGTAGTAGTTGTTGTTGTTGTTGTTTGTAACATCAATATGAGTGTTAAAAAAGGACGACAACGAATCAGTAATCCTAGTAGTAGAAGTAGCAGCAATAGCAGTGACATCAACAACTGTTTCCATGGAAAAATTTGTAACGTTTAAGTTATAGTTAGTTGCTGTTATTTCTTCAGTCAGAGTAGTTAGTTTAATATCTGGTTTTTGCATTTGTCCGTTGTTTTTCTTGTTATTAGATTCAGGATATATGGTTTCAGGTATTACCATCAAATGATGAGGATAAACTTAAGAGCAAACAAAAATAAATAAACAAGTTAACAGTATAGCGCTAGCTAGTAAACTACATTGGTTAAAAACGATTTATATAAAGTTTATTAGGATAATATTGCTGAAAAGTTTGAATTAGGATTATAATGATACAATTCAATTACAATTACATTTGAAGTATGTAATAAATATTCTATTACAATTACAAAGTAACTGAAGTTTTACCAAATTACATTTGTTTGCAAATGTAATTGAAGAGCGCACATCAGGTCAGATGCATTTCTTCCGATTTTATGTAACTAACTAACTAATGTGCAGTTGACTTCACTGTGCACCTTTTTTGCACAATTTATTTCTTAAGAAAACCCAAAATTTGTTTTGCCAATTTAATTTGTTGCATTTTTATACCCACCATCAAAAATAGATGGGGGTATATTGATTTTGTCATTTCGTTTGTAACACATCGAAATATTGGTCATAGACCCATAAAAGTATATATATTCTAGGTCCTTATTAAATTCTAAGACGATCTAGCCATGTCCGCCCGTCTGTCCGTTCGATAGGGAATACATGGGAGGAGCTAGACAGTTGAAATTTTGCATAAATATTCTTCATTGCTAAGGTTTGTTTGGTATTGAAAATGAGCAATATCGGTAAGCGTTTTCGGATAGCCCCCATACAAGTGGACCTCCAAAAAACAGCTTTAATGGGCATAACTGTTTCATAAGTACGAGTATAGCGATGAAATTCGACATAAATAAGTTTAATGTGAGCCAAAATTTTTCTACCAAATTTTTTGAGGGTCGGTCCATAACTGACCCTACTCCCCACATATTGTCCCCTTCAGAAAATGACTTTAACACTCATTACTGGACTGAACATTCGAGTATAGCGATGAAATTTGACTAAACTAGTTTCATTTTAGCCGAAATCTTTCTACCTTCTACCCTACCCCCCATATAAGGTTCCCTTCAGAAAATGACTTTAACACTCATTACTGGCCTAAACACCCAAGTATGGCGATGAAATTCGGTATAATTAAGTTTCATATAAGCCAAAATCTTTCTAAAAATTTTTTTAGGATCGGTCCATAATTGACCCTTCCCCCCAAACGGTCCCCTTCAGACCTAACCATTTGAGTATAGCGATGAAATTCTATATAAGTAAGTTTCTTACGGACCAAAACCTCTCTACTAACTTTTTTTAGGATCGGCCCATAAATGACCCTACCCACCATATAAGGTCCCCTTCTGAAAATGACTTTAACGCTCATTAATGGCTTAAAAATATGAATATAGTGACGAAATTCGACACACATAAATTTTATGCGAGCCAAAATCTCTCTAACAAATTTAGTGAGGATCGGTCCATAATCCACCATACAAGGCGATAAAATTTGTAAGTAAGTTCCTCGCGAGCCAAAATCTCTTCAACAAATTGTATATAAAAATACGAGTTATGAAATACGGTTATGAAATTCGACATAAGAAATTTTTATACGAACGTTAATCTTGCTGCCGAATTTCGTCCGGAATGTGGCGGTATTAACCCTACTCCGCATACATATAAGCCCCTTTAGAAAATTACATTAAGCTAATTACTGGCATAAAAATGCGAGTACATTGATGATATTCAATGTAAACAAGTTGTATATGAAAAAAAATCGATCTTTGAAAGAAAATATGGGTGATTACAAAATTAGCTTACTTTTCCACTTAAACGTGTTTTAATGAAGTTATAAGCGATTTTAGTTTTCTTAACATTTTTGCTAAAAAAAAATTGATTTTTGAAGGAAAAAATGAGTGATTACAAAATAATCTTATTTTCAATATGAGTGATCACATAATAAGCTTATTTTTTCTATTTAAACGTGTTTTAACGAAGTTATAAGCGATTTAGCTTTCTTAAATTTTTTTACCAAAAAATCGATTTTTGAAAGAAAATATGAGTGTTCACAAAATAAGCTTATTTTTCCATTTAAACGTGTTTTAACGAAGTTATAAGCGATTTTAGTTTTCGTATTATTTTTGACCAAAAAATCAATTTTTGAAAGAAAATATGAGTAATCACAAAATAAATTTAATTTTTCATTTAAACGTGTTTAAACGAAGTTATAAGATTTGTGCTAAAAAATCTATTTTTGAAGGAAAATTTGAGTGATCACAAAATAAGCTTATTTTTCCATTTCAACGTGTTTTAACGAAGTTATAAGCGATTTTAGTTTTCTAAAGTTTTTTGACCAAAAAATCGACTTTTAAAGATAAACATGTGTGATCACAAAATAAGCTTATTTTTCCATTTAAACGTGTTTTAACGAAGTTATAAGCGATTTTAGTTTTCTTAATTTTTTTTACCAAAAAATCTATTTTTGAAGGAAAATACGAGTGATCACAAAATAAGCTTATTTTTCCATTTAAACGTGTTATAACGAATTTATAATCGATTTTAATTTTCTTAAGTTTTTTGACCAAAAAATTTATTTTTGATGGAAAATACGAGTGATCACAAAATAAGCTTATTTTTCCATTTAAACGTGTTTTAACGAAGTTATAAGCGATTTTAGTTTCCTTAAATTTTTTTTGCCAAAAAAATCGATTTTTGAAAGAAAATATGAGTGATCACAAAATAAGCGTATTTTTCCATTTAAACGTGTTTTAACGAAGTTATAAGCGATTTTAGTTTCCTTAAATTTTTTTACCAAAAAATCGATTTTTGATGGAAAATATGAGTGATCACAAAATAAGCTTATTTTTCCATTTAAATGTGTTATAACGAAGTTATAATCGATTTTAATTTTCTTAAATTTTTTGACCAAAAAATTTATTTTTGATGGAAAATACGAGTGATCACAAAATAAGCTTATTTTTCCATTTAAACGTGTTTTAACGAAGTTATAAGCGATTTTAGTTTCCTTAAATTTTTTTTTGCCAAAAAAATCGATTTTTGAAAGAAAATATGAGTGATCACAAAATAAGCGTATTTTTCCATTTAAACGTGTTTTAACGAAGTTATAAGCGATTTTAGTTTCCTTAAATTTTTTTACCAAAAAATCGATTTTTGATCACAAAATAAGCTTATTTTTCCATTTAAACGTGTTTTAACTAAGTTATAAGCGAATTTAGCTTTTTAATTTTTTTGACCAAAAAATCGATTTTTGAAAGAATATGTGAGTGATCACAAAATAAGCTTATTTTTCCATTTAAACGTGTTTTAACGAAGTTATAAGCGATTTTAGTTTTCTTAATTTTTTTACCAAAAAATCTATTTTTGAAAGAATATGTGAGTGATCACAAAATAAGCGTATTTTTCCATTTAAACGTGTTTTAACGAAGTTATAAGCGATTTTAGTTTCCTTAAATTTTTTTTGCCAAAAAAATCGATTTTTGAAAGAAAATATGAGTGATCACAAAATAAGCGTATTTTTCCATTTAAACGTGTTTTAACGAAGTTATAAGCGATTTTAGTTTCCTTAAATTTTTTTACCAAAAAATCGATTTTTGAAGGAAAATATGAGCGATCACAAAATAAGCTTATTTTTCCATTTAAACGTGTTATAACGAAGTTATAATCGATATTAATTTTCTTAATTTTTTTGACCAAAAAATTTATTTTTGATGGAAAATACGAGTGATCACAAAATAAGCTTATTTTTCCATTTAAACGTGTTTTAACGAAGTTATAAGCGATTTTAGTTTCCTTAAATTTTTTGACCAAAAAATCGATTTTTGAAAGAAAATATGAGTGATCACAAAATAAGCTTATTTTTCCATTTAAACGTGTTTTAACGAAGTTATAAGCGATTTTAGTTTCCTTAAATTTTTTTTGCCAAAAAAATCGATTTTTGAAAGAAAATATGAGTGATCACAAAATAAGCGTATTTTTCCATTTAAACGTGTTTTAACGAAGTTCGATTTTTGATCACAAAATAAGCTTATTTTTCCATTTAAACGTGTTTTAACTAAGTTATAAGCGAATTTAGTTTTTTTAATTTTTTTGACCAAAAAATCGATTTTTGAAAGAATATGTGAGTGATCACAAAATAAGCTTATTTTTCCATTTAAACGTGTTTTAACGAAGTTATAAGCGATTTTAGTTTTCTTAATTTTTTTACCAAAAAATCTATTTTTGAAAGAATATGTGAGTGATCACAAAATAAGCGTATTTTTCCATTTAAACGTGTTTTAACGAAGTTATAAGCGATTTTAGTTTCCTTAAATTTTTTTTGCCAAAAAAATCGATTTTTGAAAGAAAATATGAGTGATCACAAAATAAGCGTATTTTTCCATTTAAACGTGTTTTAACGAAGTTATAAGCGATTTTAGTTTCCTTAAATTTTTTTACCAAAAAATCGATTTTTGAAGGAAAATATGAGCGATCACAAAATAAGCTTATTTTTCCATTTAAACGTGTTATAACGAAGTTATAATCGATTTTAATTTTCTTAATTTTTTTGACCAAAAAATTTATTTTTGATGGAAAATACGAGTGATCACAAAATAAGCTTATTTTTCCATTTAAACGTGTTTTAACAAAGTTATAAGCGATTTTAGTTTCCTTAAATTTTTTGACCAAAAAATCGATTTTTGAAAGAAAATATGAGTGATCACAAAATAAGCTTATTTTTCCATTTAAACGTGTTTTAACGAAGTTATAAGCGATTTTAGTTTCCTTAAATTTTTTTTGCCAAAAAAATCGATTTTTGAAAGAAAATATGAGTGATCACAAAATAAGCGTATTTTTCCATTTAAACGTGTTTTAACGAAGTTATAAGCGATTTTAGTTTCCTTAAATTTTTTTTGCCAAAAAAATCGATTTTTGAAAGAAAATATGAGTGATCACAAAATAAGCTTATTTTTCCATTTAAACGTGTTTTAACGAAGTTATAAGCGATTTTAGTTTCCTTAAATTTTTTTTGCCAAAAAAATCGATTTTTGAAAGAAAATATGAGTGATCACAAAATAAGCGTATTTTTCCATTTAAACGTGTTTTAACGAAGTTATAAGCGATTTTAGTTTTTTTAAATTTTTTTACCAAAAAATTGATTTTTGATGGAAAATATGAGTGATCACAAAATAAGCTTATTTTTCCATTTTAACGTGCTTTAACGAAGTTATAAACGATTTTAGTTTCCTTAAATTTTTTTGACCAAAAAATCGATTTTTGAAGGGAAATACTAGTGATAGTATTAAGCTTATATTTCCATTTAAACGTGTTTTAACGAAGTTATAAGCGATTTTAGTTTCCTTAAATTTTTTTACCAAAAAATCGATTTTTGAAAGAAAATATGAGTAGTGATCACAAAATAAGCGTATTTTTCTATTTAAACGTGTTTTAACGAAGTTATAAGCGATTTTAGTTTCCTTAAATTTTTTGACCAAAAAATCGATTTTTGAAAGAAAATATGAGTGATCACAAAATAAGATTATTTTTCCATTTAAACGTGTTATAAGCGATTTTAATTTTCTTAAATTTTTTTACCAAAAAATCGATTTTTGAAAGAAAATATGAGTGATCATAAAATAAGCTTATTTTTCCATTTAAACGTGTTTTAACGAAGTTATAAGCGGTTTTAGTTTCCTTAATTTTTTTTGACCAAAAAATCGATTTTTGAAAGAAAATATGAGTGATCACAAAATAAGCGTGTTTTTCCATTTAAACGTGTTTTAACGAAGTTATAAGCGATTTTAGTTTTCTTAAATTTTTTGACCAAAAAATCGATTTTTGATGGAAAATATGAGTGATCACAAAATAAGCTAATTTTTCCATTTAAACGTGTTTTAACTAAGTTATAAGCGATTTTAGTTTCCTTAAATTTTTTGACCAAAAAATCGATTTTTGATGAAAAATATGAGTAGTGATCACAAAACAAGCTTATTTTTCCATTTAAATGTGTTTAACAAAGTTATATGCGATTTTCGTTTTCTTAAGTTTTATGCTAAAAAATCGATTTTTGAAGGAAAATATGAGTGATCACAAAAGAAGCTTATTTTTTTATTTAAACGTGTTTTAACGAAGTTATAAGCGATTTTAGTTTTCGTAAGATTTTTGGCCAAAAAATCGATTTTTGAAGGAAAATATGAGTGATCACAAAATAAGCATATTTTTCCATTTAAACGTATTTTAACGAAGTTTTTAGTTTTCTAAGGTTTTTTGAATAAAAGATCCACTTTTGAAGGAAAATATGAGTGATCACAAAATAAGCATATTTTTCCATTTAAACGTATTTTAACGAAGTTTTTAGTTTTCTAAGGTTTTTTGAATAAAAGATCCACTTTTGAAGGAAAATATGAGTGATCACAAAATAAGCATATTTTTCCATTTAAACGTATTTTAACGAAGTTTTTAGTTTTCTAAGGTTTTTTGAATAAAAGATCCACTTTTGAAGGAAAATATGAGTGATCACAAAATAAGCTTATTTTTCCATTTAAACGTTGAGTAATCACAAAATAAGCTTATTCTTCCATGTAACCATGTTTTAGCGAAGCTATAACCGATTTTAGTTTTCTCATGTTGTTTAACCAAAAAATCGACTTTTAAAGGAAAATAAGAGTGACCACAAAATAAGCTTTATACCCATCATCAAAATTATATTGTTTTTGTCATTCTATTGATGCAGTTTGTTTCGCATTGGGTCATATCGGTCCATGTTTTCGCATAGCCCATGTGGCCCCCGAAAAACAGTGTAAATAGTCACAGATGGTTAACAACATAAGTAGGTCAATGAAATTCTACATAATCAAGTTTTATATGAGCCAAAATCTTCCTACCAAATTTTACGAGAATCGGCCCATAATTGACCTTACCCCCCATGTAAGCTCTCCTTCAGAAAAGACTTTAACTCTTATAACTTGCTTCAAAATAATAGTTAAGCAACGAAATTAAACGTAAACAAGTTTTTGGGGAACTAAAATATCTCCCCCATATTTTATGGGGATCGGCCCATATTTGACCCTTCCCCCTTCATATAAGGTCCCTCTCAGAAAACGACTATAGCGGTCATAACTTGCTTCAAAATGATAGCAATGCAACGAAATTCGACATATACAAGTTTTAAGGGAACAGAAATATCTTTTCTAAATTTTTTGTAAATCGGCCCATAATTGACCCTACCCCTCATACAAGCTCCCCTTCAGAAAATGACTTTAACTCTTATAACTTGCTTCAAAATGATAGTTAAGCAACGAAATTAAACGTAAACAAGGTTTTGGGGAACTAAAATATCTCCCCAATATTTTATGGATCCTACCCCCATATAAGGTTTTACTGAAACCAAAATCTTTGTAAAATTTTCGAAGGATGATAAAATAAGTACTACCATCACCCTATCTATATTACTATGTATTTATATATGATTTCCATTTCCCGAAATTCACTTGAAATTTAAAACACATGACTGATGGTGGGTATATAAGATTCGGCACGGCCGAATATAGCACTCTTACTTGTTATTTTGTACGATTTTCAATTTTGAAAAAATATTGTTTAACTTTCTGACTACGTGAAATATATACCTATTTTTAATAAAAACTTCCACAACAGATGACATTTGTTGCCAGAAGAAAATAAAATGTTTTGCATATTTTCATACACAATTTTTCGCAAACAAATAACATTTAATAACTGTCCATAACAGAAGGCTTAATTGTCTGCAGTTTATTTAATGGTAAAAGGAAATTATTAAAATTAGAATTAAGATTTAAAGATTATTGTTTCGGCTATAATAAAAAAGCCTTCAGGTGATAAACTTAAATAACCAAGAGAAAATGTGCAAAATTCTAATACTCTGCGATCTATAAACATTAGTGAAGTCCCATTGTAGGAACACAATGTAAATGTTAGTGTAAAATATGCATATATGCTAAATATTGAACTAAAATTTGGAAAAATTAACATATTTAAGATTTGGTTTTAAGGATCAAATTTAGATTTTTCCATTTTTTTCTTTGCAACACTAATGCTGGTTGTGTTTGTGAACACAAGTTTTATTTTAAAAGATTTACTCCCTAATATACACACAATTGCAAATATTATTTTCTTTTGTTTCTCGTGTTAATCTTTCACTTACACTGCAGTATCTCGTTGGCTAAAAAATCTTTAGGATTCTCCTCTCCTGGTTCACATAAAAACAAATAGATTTTATCCTTAAGGCGTAGAGTTGTATAGCGTGTTGCATAGTAGCGGGCATGTAAAAATCGTGAAGTATTTGCAAGTATTGTTATGAAACCCTGAGGAAAGAAGGAAAAACAAAAAAGAAATACGAGACAAATTAAAAAGCTAAATTTAACTAAGACAAAAAAAATAATGAAATAATAAAAAACAAGTACAAATATAATCGGTCAAGCGCAATTATACGATACCCTACACCGCAAGATTTTGGTATTTGGAGATATTATTTATTTTTACAATTTTTGCAAATGGACTTTTTGTGGGAGTTATGATCTTGAGCGAAATTTCTTCATCTGTTCAAATAGAAAAAAAAATTTTCGTTGCTTTTAATGCTCTTTTTTACAACCCAATTTTAAAACTGACTTGTCGTAGAAGAAGAGTAAAGTAACAACTTAGATAAGTCATTACAAATAAGTATTTAGTTAGTAGTGGAATAGTTGTGATCAATATGACCACACAACATGTTTGACACTGCTCACTGTAGTGGTGTAGGGTACAAAAAAGGTCATGAATAAATTGCAGAAGTTTGAAGTAAAAATGGCAAAATGGCCGGTAGTTAATTTTTTCTTTAGTTATATTAAAAATATAAGTAGGGTTTAAATATTTTGGAAATAATGGAAAATATTTAAGCAATTAATGAGAAAATTTTCTAATGCGAGGGGTGGTAAAGTAAGTAATTTAATAAATATACAAACCTCAACAGCCACTAAGTCTACAGCAGCTAGAATTTGTTCATTTAAATCTTCATCAGTGTCGTTAAAATTTGCTACATTAATCCATTGTAAACCAATTGTATTGCCATATCTTGATTGATTTTCAAAGACCTGCTGAACATCATCTAGATATTGTTGTTGCAGTTCATTAAAAATAATGTTGCTTGAATCGTAAACTATTAATATCGAAGTTAAATGAACATAATAAGTAGTAACTAAAAATAAAAATTAGTATTACTTTTACAACTTTAAGATTAAACAAAAATCAATTTTATAAATTCACCTAAATATTGTATTAAACTGCCAGTTCCATGCATTTCAGCAATTGTCTTTTTCTATGACTTTTATCTATTTGTGGTTAAAACTAAAGTTTAAATAGTTTTTATACTTCTTATAGACATTATGATGTAGACAATTCGATTTCATTAAAAGCATTCTTTTTATTTTGTTTGTTTTGGTAATTTGATGAAATGTAAATAGAATTATAATCAATTTAATATTAAATTGAAATATAATTGCAATTGCAGAAATAATTTATGCAAATAAGACAAATTATTAGAAATGTGTATTTTATAAATGTGTTAGATTAATGTTGAAATTTATTATTATTTTTTTTTTAAATTTGTAAATTTGATTTAAGTAATTAATTTTAAAAAATTTTCAGAATTAATTTTTTAAATTATACTAAAGTTATTTTACTAAAGTGATTGATTTTATGTAGATTTTTTTATTAGAATTTAATTTAAATTTTAACAAGTAAGAGTGTTATATTCGGCTATGCCGAATCTTATATACCCACCATCAAACCTCGTTTGACTCGAATGAAACTTACTTACGTCGAATTTCATCTATATAGTCGTATATTTAGGCCAGTTATAAGCGTTAAAGTAATTTTCTGAAGGGGACCTTATATAGGGGGATAGGGTCAATTATGGGTCGATTCTCATAAAATTTGGTACACAGAATTTGGTAGACAGAATTTGGTTCGTATTAAATTTATTTGTGTCGAATTTCATTGCTACACTCGTATTTTTAAACCATTAATGAGTGTTGCAGTCATTTTCTGAAGGGGACCTTATATGGGGGGTGGGGTCAATCATGGGCCGATCCTCATAAAATTTTTTAGATAGATTTTGACTCGCATGAAACTTACTTATGTCAAATTTCATCTATATACTAATATTTTTAAGCCAATAATGAGCGTTAAAGTCATTTTCTGAAGGGGATAAAATTTTGCATAGTGATTTTGGATCATAAGAAACTTACCTATATCGAATTTCATCGCTATATTCGTATTTTTGAGCAAGTTATGGCTGTTAAAGCTGCTTTTCGAGGGGCCACTTGTATGGGGGCTATCCGAAAACGTGGACCGATATTGCCCATTTCCAATACCAAACAAACCTTACCTATAAGAAATATTTATGTGAAATTTCAACCCTCTAGCTCTTTCCATTCGGACTCTATCGTGCTTTCCACAGACAGACAGACGGACGTACAGACGGACACACATGGCTAGATCGTCCTAGAATTTAATGAGGACCCAGAATATATATACTTTTGTGGGTCTATAAACAATATTTCGATGTGTTACAAACGGAATGACAAAATCAATATACCCCCCATCTTTTTTGATGGTGGGTATAAAAATTGAGGTTGAATCAACCTCGCGGTACAATTCAGGATTGCATTTTATCCCTATTACTCTGGGTAAATACGATTAATAATAGTCTTTTAAGGTCCTCAATCGATGACGGATTTTGACTAAGGTAAAATTATTTATGATATAGAAACAAGTATGCCATAAATAAGACTTTCGGTTGGGCTGAATGTCAATCCTACCAAAACGAAATCTGTCTCTTCACCAATTCTTTTGGAAGACCAAAAGTACATCCATTACAGAGTTCAAGTTTCTCGGATGAATTCTTTCCTCCTATAGAAACATCTATAAATTAGGAGACGTTGACCAAAAACTATTATAGGACACGTCATTAATGTATTCTGCACAGAAAAAATTATCGGTAGTTTATTTTCAATTAACATGTTTTTCCCTTTCTTTAGCTTTTATTTAAACAATTTCTTAATTGTAATAATTATCTCATTGTTTTGATCCTAAGTATACAAATTTGATTAAATTTTTAATTGAACCAATTAATTTTTTAATTGGCTGAAAAAGTTTTTCCAGCCTACTTTTTTAATTTGGTTTTTTTTTGATATTTTTTTTGTAATTTATTTATAATGGTAAGAATGTTTATAATTCTTAAATAGTCAATAATATTTAAGGCATAAGATGTTGAAGTTTCATAAATATTTTAAAATTTATAAATCACTTTATTTGTTCAAATGTTACAACAAAGAGATGTTACAACAAAGAGATGTTTAACGCATTGTTAAAGGAAAGTAATCCTTTAACTTTGTAAGCACTCAATTAATGCTTTGATTGTCTCAATCATCGACATAATTGATTTTTAATACATTTTTAACCAAACTGTTTAATTCATTTGATTAATAAATTAACTAAAATGTAAGTTTTATTTTATTAAATATTCAATTTATCCAATTAATGAATTAACTAATTTTAAATTTTGAGTTTAATTACTGATGTTAATTGTTTTGATTATTTCTTTAATTGGAAAAAATATTTTTCTACAAAATTTCATAATTGATATCATCATTTTGTTGATAGGTGCAAAACTTGCTTAATACAATTAATTTGATAATTAAAACTCATTTTCAGTTTTTTCTGTGTGGACATGTTGTACGGCCATACACAAACATCACTGGTAATATAAATTGGCGGGAACTGTGGGAAATTGGCCACAGAGACGAGATCGTGGTCAAACGAAACTTTAGACTCAACTCTTGTGGGAATCTGTTGTTATACAAACCAATTTGATCTTTATAGAAAATCGAGAAAAAGCTATTAGGGCGTTATCAGCCAAGTTTAATGTAAAACTTTATTGGACTGTAGGAGAGTAATAACCAGTGGTAAGCTCTGTATCATAAGGGTATCAGACTACTCGTTGATAATCGGCAATTTTCATTGGAATGTACTTGGTAGGAAAAATGCTTAAGGAAGCTTGATTTTAACGTAACGAAATTAGATCCAAATATTTTGGGATCTATGTTTTCAGGCATTATATCCTCTCAACTATAAATATTATCCAAAAAAGGTGGATACAGCAGAACCGATAGTGGACTAGATTAATGTTACCGTATTTGATACGAATACCACTAGAAATATAAATTGGCGGAAAATGTGGGTTATTGTACCCAGATAGGAGATCGTGGTCAAGCGGATTTTTAGGGCAAACTCTTGTAGGAATATGTTGCTGCATAAATTACTCTAAACTGGGAGACAAATTTGAGAAAAAGCAATTAGGGCGTTATCAGCTGATAAGGTTTAATCTACAACCATAATGGACTGTTAGAATGGAATGGTACCAGGACACTAGGTGATAATTGTCAATGAAAAGGGAATGTACTTGCTAGGGAAGGAACCTTAAGGAGGTTAATCTAACTAAATTTGATTAAAATATCTTGGGAGCTATGTTTTCAGGCATAATATCCTTCTTTCTATAAATACTTTTCAAGAAAAAGTAGGCACAACAGTCCCGATAGTAAACTACATTAATGTTAACGTAAATGATGACATCCTCCTTTCAACTGAATTTCATCTAATCTAAATGTTCAAAAGCTTTTTATACCCTACACCACTTTAGTGGGGAGGGTATATTGGGTTTGTGCTGATGTTTGTAACGCACAATAATATTGGTCCTATACCCACCTTAATGTATACCAATCGGCTTAGAATCATTTTCTGAGTCGATGTCCGTCTGTTTGTCCGTCCGTCCATGTAAACCTTGTAATCAAACTACAGGTCGCAATTTTGAAGATTTTACAATGAAATTTGGCACATGATCTTCTATTGTCCCAGGGACGAAACCTATTGAAAATGGTTACGATCGGTCCATTATTTCACCTAGCCCCTATACAACTGAACCCCTGAATAGGGCTATTAAGTTCATAATTATGTTTAATATACTCGTATCTCGACAGAAAGCTGCAAAACCAAATTCTATATTAGCCTTGATGAACCTCATAAATATTTTAATTATAGGGTCTCATTTGACTATAGCCCCTGCCCCTAGTCAAAGCCCCTTCAAAATTTGACTAAAATGTCCACAATTTTATTCAACAATAAATGGCTTAAGTACGTATATCTGAGGCAAGGTACAATTCAACTCAAATGCTTTATTATGAAAACTAAATCACATTTTTTTGTAACAGCTATTATACGGTCGGCCTCGCCCGACTATAATTTCTTACTTGTTTTAATTTCTAGTGTTTAATTGTGAGAGCTACTTGGCTCAGGGTTAAAATTTTCAATTATTTTGTTTAATAACCTCAAAAAGTTTTATTTTCATAACATGTTGCTTCAACATTCTACCCATTAAGAGTAAAATGTTTATTAAGCTCAAAAAACATCAACAGATGATATTTTATGTTAGTACTTCATAACGCATTAAAATTAAATCCTTTATTCAATTATATAAAAATTTTAAATGCTTTCATAAATCTCCTTTACTCCTACAAACTAAGAATTTTTAAATGACTTTTTGTCTTTTCTGTTTCATATTATAACTACTGCATACTCAGAGAAACTCTTAACACACATACATACATACATCCTAGTTCACACAAGTTACCTACATCTTTTATTTCTTCATACAACTCTGGTCAAATAGTTTAGTTTCACTTACTTGGCATGAGTGCATCATCATTGGCCCCCAATCCCAACAGTAATTTAGTGTCTATGAAAATAATAAAATCCTTTAGATTTTCATCTACATGTTAAGAATGCCTGAAATAAAATTTATATTTAAGGCTTAACTTAAGGTCGTGGCATATACACTTTAAAAAAAGAAAAATAACGTTAAAAATTTGCAACCAAAATAATTTAATTCCCCATAGATGCTCACAGTCGTGGGAGGATTTGTTTTAGCATGTTTTTGCTTGCAGAAGCATGAAAAGTGTGAAATGTATGGAACAAAGTAAATAATTTTTTTTTGTCTAGTGAAAAAGTTTGCACATTCAATTTTTCTTTTCTTTTTGTTGTATGTAAATTATTTTCTTATTATTATATCTACCGCATTCTTGTTATTATAGTTAATGGGGAATCAAATAAGTTGTAGTCTAGACCAACTAACAAAAATAA